AATAAAAATCATGTATCTAAGACTAAAATATCAACCAGAACAGACCTAACATCCAATAGATTTAGTTTAAAGACGTCATTAACAACTTCAGAGAAAAACATGACCTTGTGCAATGCCATAATACAGGTTTCAACAGATTGTAGTACCATGAAAGTGCATGTGTGTAACAATAATATTTAGCATGGTTTTTATTCACTGATAACAAAATCAATATTTATACCAATAAAAACAATATTTAAGGGATTGAAAGTTTAACCGGATCGTATCAAAATTTTCCGGGCTCGGTAAACAACATCAGTTTTCTACAGGTACGTCCAAACTTGCAAACCAAATCTTTGTATCTGGAAGAATTTAGTAAAGGTTTTAAGTAATTTGTGGTAACGAAATCACTGACTTGATAATTTTCCAGTAATACATTGATTACGCTCATTTAAATCCAAAAACGTCACAACAGACAAGGGCATATAGCGAACGAGTTGGGATATATAAACACCGTCAGACGGTGACAAAGGAACATCACCGTCCAAAAAAGGAAAATTAACAATAGGGAAAGAAAAATCATTCCTCTTGTTGTAATTTTTTGTGTAGAGTTTCTGGTATAAAACTGAAATATCTAAATCTAGGAAAGGACAGTTATTGCTGTTAATACTTGAATTAATTAAAATAAGTTACTATTAAGTAATATCTAATATTAATAATTAATATAATTTCAACGCTTCATTATTCTATTTATCTATTGGAAAAAAAAACGTGTAAAAACTAACAGATTTGGAGCTCACAGTTTTATCTTCATATATATTTAGGAAAACTCAAACATCACTTACTTTTAAATTAGTGTAAGACTTGAAAAAATTGTTAAAAATACGCCGCAAAGAGTGAAATAGAAGCAGCAAGTGAAAAGACATGCCTGAACTTAACAGCTACATATATATTTATTCTCGGCTTGGTCTTGATAGTTCATCAAACTACTTAATTGTGACATATCTATTTCGGTTATAATTCCCCGTTTTTTTACTTTTGAAACAATTATGACCAGCACATTTTGTAAAACAAATTCCTCTCTAGACAAATTAACTTATTTCACTCCAATCGCAGACCAATATCCCATTTGCAACTTGTAGAAACACTTTTGAATGAACGGATTAGGACTTGATAATTGAATGAATCAAATGAATTGTTATTAAAAATTGTCTGTTTTTTTTCATTCAATTTAAAACCTTACGTAAACTAATATCCTCATTTTATCTTCGATGAATGATTAATTTTATTTAGCAATATGAATACATACTGGAGCCACCTCAACAGCATATGTATTTAGACCTTGACCAGGTTACACTGCCATCGTCTCCACCGCCGTACACATTACATGACATAAATCTACCCAACAATACCCTGACATCAGGTAGAGGAAGGGTAAGTTTTACACCAAAATTGAGGTATGGAATAACAAATTGTGTCAAAGTCATACATTTACATGCTGAAATGAGCTTGAACGAAAACGCAATCACTATGGAATACTAACTTAAAATGTTTGTATAAAGTGAGGACTCTATGGATATTGAATACCAATTATATATCATATAGTCAATGTACAAATACACATGTAACATAATAAACGAAAAAAAACCCGAATTAGTCACCTTTCACAAGCAAGTTATATGTGTAAGTCATCTTCACAGTCACATGAAAGTTGGGTTATCTAACATGAGACGAGTACATCTATATGACTTGTGAAATGTGACTGATCTACCATTAATTTGGGGGAGAAAGCAGAGACACCGAAGTAAGCTAATTGACGAAATGTCTGAAAAATGGTTTTTACCCTACAATAACGTAACATATGTTTCCTTTCGGAATTTCTACACATTAGAACGTCGTTTTTCCTTTCCTTGGAAATATTCTAGATTATAGCAATAAACTTCCCATGCATCAAAGATATAAACAACAATTTTTAACAAGAATTAAAACAAAAATGTGGATATCTTGAAAAAGCAAACGGTATTCTTCACAGAAAAGTAAATAGACGGATATCATGAATACTATTCGCCAGGGAGAGCAATAAGAAAGATGAAGCTGAAATATTTGTACACGCAAAGTGACTGAATTTAAATTTAACATTTTCATGTATTCCAAATTATATTTGCAGGACAATGATGGGCATAGAACAATAAGAGGGGTTCAAACGCAGCGTCCTTCCATGTTCACACCAGAGAATTTCACAGTATGTACAAAACGAATTACTTGCTGAAGTATGTAAAGTAAATCCGAAAAGCGATACAAAAGGAAATTATTATTCAAATAAACAGCTGCGCCATGAGCGCATGATACGCCCGTCGTCTTGTGTGTGAATTTTTATGCAATAAGCATAAATAGTTTCTGACATACGGCGTGACATGCGAAAACCCCCTTTTTTTTACAAAAAACTCAATATCTCTAAATTTAAATGTTGAATCAAAACTAAAAAGTATACAGATCTTTAGATTAATATAACTAAGAAGTGTGTAAAATTTTAAGCAATAATCATAAATCGTTTTTGAGATACGGCGCGACATGTGAAAACCCCCCTTTTAAAAAAAAATCAATATCTCAAAAATAAAATTTTGAATCAAAACCAAAAAGTATACAGATCTTAAGATTAATATAACTAAGAAGTGTGTAAAATTTTAAGCAATAATCAAAAATCGTTTTTGAGATACGGCGCGACATGTGAAAACCCCCCTTTTAAAAAAAAAAATCAATATCTCAAAAATAAAATTTTGAATCAAAACCAAAAAGTATACAGATCTTAAGATTAATATAACTAAGAAGTGTGTAAAGTTTTAAGCAATAATCATAAATCGTTTTTGAGATACGGCGCGACATGTGAAAAACCCCTCCCCCTTTTTTTACAAAATACTCAATAACTCAAAAATAAAATTTTGAATAATCACCAAAAAGTATACAGATCTTAAGGTTAATATAGCTAAGAAGTGTGTAAAGTTTTAAGCAATAATCATAAATTGTTTTTGAGATACGGCGCGACATGTGAAAAAAACACACACCTGTTTTAGTTACTAAGTCCCGTAACTCAAAAATTGTTAATCTTATTTTCACCAAAAAGTATACAGATCGTTTGACCATCATAAGAAACAACTATGTTAAGTTTCATAAAATTTGGATAAGTCATTCTCAAGTTACGGTGCGACATGTTTACGCCGGACAGACAGACGGACGGACGGACGGACACCGGACATTTGTATACCATAATACGTCCGTCAAAAATTGACGGGCGTATAAAAAATGTGTCCCAAAGATAAATCGGTAGTCTCGGAGGCCTAACATAATACTTCAACATGTTTTGATATTTGCAGCTACTTTGATAGCTGCTTTATTAAACAAGTTATGTTTCTGCTTTAAGATTGGTGGAGAGAATTGTATTTTAAAAAGCGCATGCAAAATGCATTTAATACGCGGAATATTTAAAAGTGTGCACCACATTTTTTAGGTTATTTCGAATAGACAGAAAAAATATTACAGTCATTCCTTATAATTTAATTCTAAATTCCATTTTAAAGGAGTAAATTTTGAAAAAAACGTTGTTGACGTCACGGTCACATGACAAAATTATGTCTATGAGCTGATAGACAAAACACTTTCAACCAATCAGAAGACGTGTTACATCCACAATTAAATTATTTGTAAATAAACACACAACGGTTTGTGTTTGTACGAGTAGAAATGCTAATGTAAAGAAAAACCTGCACCATCTAAAATATTTTATTTCTTTAAGTTTGAGCCAAGCGTTTTCCAGAAAATCTAGCAATTATGTTATCTGAATTAGAAGTTTGTATTGCATATATATATATATTTATTCAATATACATACATTTAAAGTCAGTTTATCCAAATATCATATTTTCAGCGGTCAACACCAGAAAGAATTTTTGTAGCAGCAATAGACATTGGAACAACTTTTTCTGGATATGCGTTTTCTTTTCGTCATGATTATATGGTTGACAAGCTTAAGATATCCACCAACATGTGGGCGCATAATAGTGGTCTATCTGCAAAGGCTCCATCTGCTATTTTGATCGGCCCAGGAAAACAGGTCGTAGCCTTTGGATATGAAGCCCAGCTAATGTATGCCAATCTGGTTGAAAATTCGCGGGAAAGTGATTACTTCTACTTCAATAAGTTTAAACTTATCTTATATAATAAACAGGTAGGTAAGATGTAAGTTTTTATCATATATAGAAAGACACTAATGTACAAATCTAAGAATCTACTGATTGAGACTAAAAAAGGGGGAAGGTTGAGATCTAAAAACAAACTAATTAACCCCGCCACATTTGCATGTGCATATCCCAAATCATGATTCTCGTCTGGTGTAGTCGTTTGTCATAACATTTTAAAATAGCTTTCGCTTTTTGGTGACTTGAGCGGTAGATCTTAGATAAGCTATGTTAAATTTATTGACAAATTTGATAGACAAGGGTTGAAAAGGGTAATCTGAAAAGTGTTAAACTGTTCTTCGAAAATAAGTCCAACTCCATCAGACAAAATTTCCAACATTATGTATGTGTCTGTCCCACGTCAATAGCCTGTTATTCGGTGGTTGTCTTTTGTTGCTGTATATAATATTTGTTTTCCGTTTATTGTTTTGAACATTTATCGTTGGTCTTCTCGTTTGAATTGTTCAATATTTTGTCATGTCGTGGCCTATAATAGCTTGCTTTGCAGTATTCCATTTTATATGTATAAGAAAAAACTACATATTTAAACTACCTTAACAACAATTGCGTGCAGATACATTGCTGTCATTTTTATGCCTCATTTAATAATCATATAATCTTAATGTATATAAATCTTAGAAGATACCGGGATATATTATTCAAATGAAATCTACATCTATATAATTCGATGTTTCTTGCTATTTCAATACGGACACTGACATTATTTGTATTTTTCCCTGTACAGAATCTTAACTACAAAACAAGAATACAAGACATACACGGGAAAGATATGTATGCCATTGACGTTTTTGGTCTGGTTATCAGTTACCTAAAGAACCACCTTCTTGATCGATTGAAAGGCAATGACAGTTCGTCCATTGTGGGAGAAGAAATGATTCATTGGGTTTTAACAGTGCCTGCAATATGGAGTGACAAAGCAAAGCAGTTTATGAGGAAAGCAGCCGCAGAAGTAATATCACTTTTCAGTTTAGCTTGTCGATATTTATTATAGGAACTTGATATCACTTGAAAAGCTGTACCTTTCAAAAGCAAATTTGTCAATCAAAGAAAAGTATCAGTACTTGAATTTAGTGTTAATATCTATAAAAACTCATTAAAGATACCAGGTTCATAGTTAGGTTGGCCAGACGAGCGGGTTTTGACTCCATATGATTTATCAGTGTAAACCCAGATTAATGTAGTATATTTAGGCGCCCTGAATATACAAGTACAAAGATTATGGCAACAAATATTGCAACGCTAGTGAGAACATTACGTTCTTAGTGGCATATCATATTCCAAAATTCTTAATTTCTTTGCACTACTTTTTTCTTTGCTCCCTTAGGATCCGTTCGTTAAGGCTTTTTCATTGCAATTCATCGATCAGCTCACTATTACGACCACAATGCACTGGGGCTATTTTAAAGACAATATGTTGGAAATAACTAAAGGTTTGGGACTAGGGCTACCCTGAAAATATATAAATACGAACCTGCAGTACAGTATCTATTATAAAGATACATTATTATTTCCCTTCTTATATTGTATCATCTGCCATTTATAATATCTTTTATCTTTTTTTACTATTTCTCAGTATAAAAAGTTGATGATTTTGTCTAGTTAATTTCATTGTAGGCTAGTATTCCAAGTAAAAGTCTTACTCTGGCCCTGGAACCAGAAGCAGCTTCTTTATTCTGTAAAACATTTCAGCATGCCGTACACGGAAATTCACAAGCCGCAATAAGAAAAGGAAGCAAATACCTGTTGATTGATCTTGGAGGTATAATTAGTCATTTTACATCAAAATGAAGGTCTTTGGGAAAAAAAACATGCACGAATTATACAGTATTTTAATCAATTGGTACTCTAAACGTGATTATTGTTTTCCCGGAAGCAGTCGTGTTTACTTTCAATAGTTTATTGTGTAGATTTGAAATATTACGGGACTTATTATCAGATATGTTGGATCGTGTTTATTTCAAAAGTGCCCTTTCAGTCTAAAACTCATTTACTAGTTCTCAAAATGACTTTATGGAGTCAGTACCTTTTTACATTGTATTGTCATTTTTACGATTTTAAGACTTGTTGTAGATTGAGATAACTTCTTCGAAAACTAATAAATTGAAACTTAGAGTGGGATATTTTGTAATGTTGTTGAAATCTTCTTTCACCTTTCAGATTTAAAAAAAAATGATGTGTTTAGTAATAGAATTAGTCAACATGGTCAAGTTATTTTTATCAAAAACTATGATAAATGTGAATAAACGAAAATTACAATTACATGTCAGCAGTGCTGTTTCATTTCAAAACTTTAGTGAACTTTCGTTTACAAAATGTTGAAATAAGTTCAATTTGCAGACCCTTATTCAGCACTTTTACAAGTTTTTTGTACTCAGATTTGTACTTTGTGTCTTTTGTTGTTAGGGATAAATGCCCTGCCACGTCCAGTATGTGTTTTTGTTAGATGTATTTTCTGCTTTGTACCGATTTGACGAGTTAAGTCCTTTTCAACTGATTTTTATAGTTTGTTCTTATGTTGTGCTGTAACACCATTGTCCCAGATTAGGGGAGGGTTGAGCGCTCACAAACATGTTTAACCCTGCCATATTCTAGGTGTGCCTGTCCCAAGTCAGGAGCCTGAAGTTCAGTGGTTGTCTGTCATATATGTTTTCCGTTAATTGTTTTGTTATAAATTAAGCTGTTAGTTTTCTCAATTGAATTGTTTTATACTTTTCATGTCGAGGCCTTTTATAGTCGACTATACGGTATGGATTTTCTCATTATTGAAGGACGTACGGTTGCCTATAATTGCTTACATACACTTCATTTCAACTTAGGTGGATAGTTGTCTCATTGGCAATCATACCACATCTCCTTATTTTTGTTTTGAAATAAATACATGAAAATATGTGTTCCCGTGCTTATTTTAGAGAACACTTTAAAAATTGCTCCTAAAAGTGTTTTTCCAAAATTGTCACCTTTTTTTTATAAGAAATATTATAATGTTATACGCTTTCGGTGTTTTTCGGGATTAACATTGGTTTGCTAATTTATAATTTGAAGGCAACCTTAGCCATAAGCTACTTTCCCTGCAATGAGAGTCTGTACTGATTTAATCTTTGATACTAGTATTGCAAAATATCGTATCTTCCTCAGTATTCTTTTTATGACATTCCCTATTGAAATCTAATTGTCGTACAGGCGTTGATACTAAATCAAAGTTAGTACAATAATACAACATTTATGACATAAAAGGATAAGTATAATTCTAACCTTTTTCTGTTTAGATAAGGAGAAAGTTCCAAAATGAAGCTATTAACATTGTTGGATTTAATAACGGCGAGAAATTGTTTTAAACTCATACAAGTTAAATCATAATATTATGCAAGCCTTTCTATTGTTTTTCTATGAAAACAATTAGTACATAATGTAAGTTTTAAGTGTATATACGGTGGGAACATCTTAATTGGGGAAAAGTGTCGTTTTTAAATCTTATCTAATCGGCGAGGGCAAAATAAAGTAATTACAACAAGAACTAAATACGATGTTACATTGTTGTATTTATAAACTTAAAACATAAGCATTTCTTTTCAGGTGGAACTGTGGACATAACGGCACATAAAGTACACATTGATGGCACACTGCAAGAACTTTATCAAGCCACCGGAGGTAGATGGGGCGGCACAACTGTTGATAGTGAGTTCCAGCTTTTTTTGTTCAGAATTTTTGGTCAACAAGTAATGGAAAAAGCATATAGAAAGTATCCTAATGAGATGTTGGAACTATCTTTGGACTTTGAAGTGAAAAAGCGAGTCTTTGAACCAAAACAGTCATTAGCAGTTGCGATTAAAATTCCAGTTTGTTTGCATGAATTGTTTTATGAAATTAATTCACTGACAATTGCGGAAAGTGTTCAGAGTTCAACTATGAAACATACAGTGGAACTCAAAAGAGACAAAATGATGATAGCACCAAAACAATTTTACAACTTCTTTGATAGTTCATTATCATGTATTGTAAATCATGTCAATGGTCTTCTTCAAAAACAGGATCTTTCAAGCATTAATACCATCTTGTTAGTAGGAGGGTTTGCTGAATCCCATGTTGTCAAAGAGGTTATGCGGTTGAATTTTCCAGATATGCGTATAGTGAATCCGGATGATTGTTCTCTGAGTGTCTTAAAAGGTGCAGTATTATTTGGCCATGATCCGCAAGCTATATCATCAAGAATATGTAGGTATACATATGGTATTGCGATTACTGTACCGTTCGTTCCTGGTGTTCATCCGGTAAGAAAAAGACAAATAATTAAAGGAAATGCTATATGTGATGATGTATTTGATATTCATTTGAGAATTGGAGAAAAGGCGGCAATAGGAAAACCACGAAAAGAAGCAGTGTATCAAGCTGTTCAAGGGGAGAGTTTGGCGATTCTGGAGGTTTTTGCATCAACTGATCTCAAACCTCACTTTGTTACTGAAGACACTTGTTTTGAATTAGGATCATTAGTTATTATTCTGACAGATTTTAACAGAAATGAAAACAAAGTAAACGTAACTCTTCATTACAATGGAACTGAATTAGATGTTGTTGCGAGGGAAGTGAGTACCGGCAAATACATGACGGCAACGCTTGATTTTTTAGGCTAGGCAATTCTAAAGTGATTGATTTATAGTACCATGTTGATTTGTGATTCCAAAGTACCAATGCAAAAAACGTGTCTTTGACATATTTGTTGTTAACACGAAAACAAAATGATCAGCTGTTAAAAATCTACGCTGAAAACAGAGATATTGTGCTAAGATTTTATTTATAATAAAAATTTGTAACAATTGAGCAGAATTGAATTAACAAATTTGGGTAATTAGTTATAACAACCAATTTTATCATTCGATTTGTTTTTCAATATATATATATATATGCATAAAATATACTATATTTTACTTAAACTTAACCATACATTCATTCATAACTTGTATGCTCCTTATTTAAATAACACAGTGCAGGGGTTATTAGATTTATCATATTCTATATAGTATATGTACCATCGATGACTTTCATGTAAATCAATCAGTAAACAATGGTAGAATAAGGCAAAAGTAGTTAACCGATGTTCAAATCTCATTCATTTATTAAGAAGACAAAACATGGTAACCCAAAAACATTGGGGATCGCATGACCTCTCGAAACATTCATTTATTAAGAAGAAAAAACATTGTAACCCAAAAACCTAGGGGATCGCATGACCTCCAGAAAGAAAGAGAGACTGGGTGCGTCGACCGGGTAAACGTCTCCTGGTATGCTTGCACCACCCGCCATGTGAGTCCACATTGTCAAGCTTTTAAAATCGGGGAATAGGACACAATCGGTAAGATCCAATTAAACAAGGATTGATTTCAATTATATCGTATACTTGTTCCTCTATTTATTAGTAGCAGAAAACTTTAGAATTTCTATAGACCAATTGCAATTTTATGATATCGAAATAATTCACATTTGTAGTATACAGATTTCATTGGTTTCGACATATTTCATGAAGAATTTTAACAAAACTTATGAAAATTGCAACTTCTTTTGATTTGGTCTAATTAATTAAATGTAAAACTTTATTAATACAATAAAACTCATATTGTTCAAAAGACTATTTTTTCATCTTGTTCCTGAATAATGATTTATTTAACCTAAATCCGACTATTATTTTGGGGCTTCATTCAATATATTTTATCAATTAAATCGTATTGACATTACAGCTATTCTAGGGAACGTAAACGATATCAGTGAAGAAAATAGAGCAGTATTATCGTTCTTGCGTTTTCTATTTACATGGGAAACAGTTGTCAAATTGTCGGCTCATGTTTACAAACTAAATTATGTAAGAAGTACATACGTGTGATTATGCATAATCGCATATAACTTTATCGTTTTATAGTAAGTAGTTTAAAACGGAAATGCATTAGTTCTTTTGGACACAATTACATTTTAATCATTTAAAAAACAATGATCAATTAATTGAATTTTTCTAGCCCCCTCAAACAAATGCTAATCAGTGGCTTGAAGGGCATAATCAAAGGATTTGATTTTACCACAAAATTACCAAAATCTATACAAGCTAAAGTTGGATATGCCAATACACAATAAATAGAACATTCAAAATTACGAAGTATAAATAACTAAATCATGTCAAATACACTTCTAAACAGATAATACTGATAAAAAAGTATGCAAAAATCATTCGTCTGTTGACATTTTCATTATATATATATATATATCATATAGCATGAATAAACAGTTCATTGAAATAAAATTTGAAATTCAAAACATTAATATGTTTTCTTTCTTTTTTAATTTAATTTGTTCATAAAAACTATAATATGAAATGTATTAAACGGAATGACTTTAGTCTACTGTGTGTCAATTAATTATCAATTAAGATTATTTTTGGCTTTCTCTTGTTACATTCAGGGCAATTCGTAATCTAACAGCTTCTCTTAGCTGCTCCAGTTTGTCAAATCCTTTGAAAAATTTCCTATCAGTCTTTGACTTCATTTTCAATTTTGTGATACGTCTCTGATACTCCTTATGCTTTATAGTCAATTCCCTATAACAAAGAAGTAAAATTGTCTTATTTCAGACAACGATAAGAACTGACGAATAAAATGTAATCATTTAAAACATATTTTATAGTTTTGCTTTGTGAACGAACTACGCATGATTGTGCTAAAATCACAGCATTCTGGTATTTTCAAATAAATATTTGATATGTTTTTAATTTTATTGTTGTCTCTGTTTAAAAATTACTGTCAGCTTTTCCTACGTTAACAGTATAATATTTTGTTACAATTCAAAACACAAATCATTGTAGTCACACTGACCTAATTTTAATATCTATTTCTTAACAGTTTATCCCGTTTTGAGAGGCACACGTGTTGATCAATCTGGTTTTTTGTTGGTTTTTTTTTGTAATGTTTGTCTCTTTGACTGACCATTGTGGATTTGTGTTTCAAATTACGTTTTTTGATTAAAACTTGATATTTTCTCATATCTTACACAGATGTCGACAATTAGTTGTAAAATGTATTAAAGTACCTCTTTTAGAATTCAAACATTGTCTTATAGTGAGAGAAAAATATGGCAAGTGGAAAAAGGCTCTCATCAGCACAAGCTAATTGATATCTAAATATAGTTACTAGTAAATTATGTTATTCATATATTTAAAACTGTAACTTAATTTCATATACATAGAATGCAGTAAATTATATTGCAAAGCAAAGTATTTAATTCGAACAACTTCATCTCATCGCTTCAGTTATATTATAATGATCACTGAACATTCTATATAACAGTTGTTTTGATATCATGTCCTCTTTTCAGCGACAATATTATCTGTCTCAGAATGTTTTTCCATAGCAGACAATTTACTAATGATCCAAGAATAATATGAGAAAAGTAACAACAAAAGTATCAAACTCCAAAATAAATTCATAACTAAAGGCTCTAAAGAGCCTGTGTCACTCACCTAGGTATATGGGCTTAATCAACAATGGACTCTCTCCAACATTGTAGACAAGAATAGAATTCATAACAAAAAAAAATTGTTTGTTGATCTTGTATTGATGCTCATTTTGTCTGTTTAGTTTCTCTCTAACTTCTTTAGCTTTTCTCAAATCACAAAAAAGGGTAAAACAAAATCCCCATTTAAGGGCAATCACTCCTATGAAGAGTGACAGTCTACTAACTATATCCGCAAAATTTAACTTGTTAGTGGATCTTACCTTGCTGGTTATTTTTGTTATTTGACAAATGAAAACAACACGGTATAAATTTCATGCGTCCGAAGCGCTTTTCTGGAATTTCTATTTATATATTATGATTCTTATCACATAAGGCAAAATGCAAAACAAATAGTGAAAATCGTCATTAAAGGGCAATAATTCTAATAAGAAGTCGTTGGAAAATTTTCTCCATAATGCCTTAAATGTAGATCTTGTCTTGCTGATCCTTTTTTCTTATTTAAGTTTCAAAACATTGGTAAAAATCGTCATTAAAGGGCAATAACTCTAATAAGAAGTCGACTGAAGCTTTCGACCATGCATACTTATTCGTAGATCTTGTCTTGTTGATTATTTATGCTACTTAAAGTTTCTCTCTATCTGTTATAGTTTTCAAGAGGAAGGGCAAAAATGAAAAAAGAAATTGTGAAATTTGTCATTTAGGGCAATAACTTATATAAGAAATTGCCTGACAGTTTTGACGTCACTAAACAATTAGTAGCGTTCAACATTCTGAATATTTTTGCCCTTATCATATTTTCTCTATTAATAACGGTTTTCAAAATAAAATACAAAACTTGCAGTTTACCCCTATGTTCTTTTTTTAGCCATGTCGGTCATCTTGGTTGGCATGCGGGGCCATCAGACACATTTTTAAAACTAGATACCATACCCTAATGATGATTGTGGCCAAATTGATTAAATATGGTCCTGTAGTTTCAGAGGAGAAGATTTTTGTAAAAGTTAACGGACGACGACGGACGCCAAGTGATGAGAAAATCTCACTTAGCCCTGTGGGCCAGGTGAGCTAAAAATGAACGGCTCGACTATATCAACCAACGGACGATTGGAAAACAACTGTCATATTCCTGACTTGGCACAGACTTTTTGTTTCGAAGAAAATAGTCGTTAAAACCTTGTTTTATAGCTAGCTTAACCTTCCACTTGTATGAAAGGTGTGTATGTGCCGTCATATTGACAAAATTGTGTGAGCAACCCCAAAAAAACATACTTGATTTACTGGATAATTATTGGGATCCAGCAGCCAAAATTGTGTAAATATACATTATAGATGAATATAACGCATTTGTATTTTCCTAGGACATACGTCAAACTTACGAGAACCAACCTCACAAGTGTTACTATGGACGAAATAAAAGACCAAGGAATACTTCTGAAACCGATATTTGTGCGCACGACGCCAGTTTCAGGAAAAGATGTAACAAGGTCAAAAACCTAAATCGTTTGTGTGCATTTAATCCACCAATTTAAACAAATCTTGAAAACATCTGGCCCATGTTGTCCCCTTTGCAACACGGTCTGGCAGACACAGACATTCCGGACGTCCAATCGATTATTTTTACCGGTGTAATGTCCTTTGGAATGGTAAAATCTATAGCTAATTGCATTATGAGCGCTCTCACGTATACAATGCTTGTTAGATATATATGAAATGGATATCAAAGGTTATATTAGCAATGTCTCGGACGAAATAGTATATAGAGCTGATGAAATTATCATCAAGGAACCCCTTGGAGATTTACATTATTTGGAAAATTGCATTGTAAGCTTTCTCACATCTACATTTTTGGTAGGATTATTGTGAATTTCACATGAAAGTTTTATATCAGAAATGTCTGGGATAAGGTCGAAAATCAGCGCTGATCAATTATTTTTATGGGAGGTTTCAATGTGATTAAAATGCTCCGTTCTTCTTCTGTTTTTAAGATCTTTCGGGGTCATCTAGGGTTTTGTTTGGAACGATACACACCTTCAAAACTTGATGGTTGAAATTTCCTTGGCTGCATCTTATAAATGCCAGATCAGAGAGAAGAACGGAATGTTGTCAGACCCGTGTAAGCTTAGCTTGGCCACCAGACCAGCATTTTAGTCAGATTGGGGATTTTCGTTTCTTCGAAATATAATTTATTTTTGAATGTTGCAATGTGAGCACACACACACACACATCTACGTTTCTTGTTAGACTTTTATGAAATTTATATCAAAAGTTTATACCACCAAGATCATGGAACATTGACAAATAATTAGTTGTTCCTGAATTATGCTCCTTTGAAATAGAACTTGTTTGGAAGATAACATTGTTAGCAGTCTACATGTTTGTAGGAATTTATTAAGAAGTTCAAAAGAACCAAAAGAGTTAGTTTTGCCCTTAGTCAGATAAAATGAGTGCGACAACTAGGGATATTGTAACGCTGTTCTTTTATTAATGATGAGTTTGGTCCCGTTATTTATATGGTTGCCTTCATATTTTAAGTATTATATTTAAACCGTGTATACCGATCATTTACATTGTTTCGAATTGCATTAATTACTATAACTTCGATTATTCTGTTGAAAACTGTTGCCCCTGATTCCTTATCTTAGAATTAATTCTTCTAACAGTGTATCAATACAGAGCTTTCAATATATCTTCATAAAAATATATTTATGGCTATCTCATGATAGTCTCATTATACGAAATTCATGAAATTATACTTTCGACAAAAAATGAAGCATTGAAAAACTTCAACAAGTAAGAAAGCGACTTAACCGAACATAGGGTCGCTGGATTTCACATATTTTATAAAACAATATATGTTGTACCTGATGCTTTCACTTTGCTATAATTGTTCATATTCAAAATATTGGAATATAAATACTGAATATGAATTAAATGTTCAAATTTTATTGTTTTGTTGGTCACATGATTTTAGACAATTAATTTGTATAGGTTACCTTTCTAAAAATATCTTTTTCTCCAATAAATAAAATGTTGTTAATGGCTTCTTAAAGATTTGTTTAATATTCCTCAATAAACACCTAAAAAGGTTTTTAAATTCTATATTGGTACATTTATTTTTCATATTGCATGTTGTACTTACTCAAAATCTACCTGTCCGTCCTGATTTATATCAAGTTTTTTCATTAATATGTCCAGTGCTCTACTACTTAGAGGAAGATCTATGCTCTGAAAACCAAAAGATTAAATTAAATCAAACTCTTATATGCTGTATTGAATATAAAAGTATCATACCAATGCCAGTTAATGAGTCCATGTAGAAAACAAATAGAAATTAAAGTAAAAATAATAGGAATTGCGTGAACTTCAAACGAAGTGAGACCATGTGTTTCGAAAAAGTAGGTATCGGCCGTTACAGATTTCAAGGTCATGCAAAGTATACAAATACGAATCAACACTGAACAACTGAAAACATTTTTAATTCAGGTTTCTTTTACCATTAAAACTGTTCTGTTAGGTACCCAAATTACGAAAGTAGTTAAAATTACGCTAGATGCATACTGATGCTTTGTGTTTTTGAATAAGAACATTTTTGCCTTTTGTGATACCTTTTACTGATATTAATGATAAACTAACGACAATTAACGTTCCTTCGATTTACCTATTTTGCATGGTTACAGTACACTCATGATTGAAAGTATTCTTGTTTCATTATTATACCGAAGAAGTACACTATTCATCATTGTAGTACTTTTTATACACATTGCATGGTTTTCTTGTTTATATCACATTTCACAATGTGAATGAAAATTGCATTTTAGATTTCAGTATATATCATCATCTTGTAAGATTGTCAACAACAGGTACAAGTTGAATCAGTTGTCGATTCAGACGCAAATAAAATGATCGAGAATGCAGCATAAGAACTGAATTAAACATAAACCGCGTTACCGTCATTCCTCTCTGAAATTCATCTCTCGTCAGTGTATCGCTGTGGTCTCTATCAAGATTGTGCAATAAGTCAATTAATCTAAGATTCTTCTGCTTCATATACTCAAACAGTATAGTCATTGGATCATCTGTATCCAGGACACTCCTATGTTGACCTTTCGTGATTTCATCATGACGTAATACAATGCCGTGTTTGACACGTATCTTTCTCTTTTCTTTCACTTCATTTAACAATTTCATAAAACTTTCATCAACTAAAACATCCTGTAACATATTTTCATCAACAAGTAAAATAATTTTGTTAAAAAAATCTTTTTATATTATAACCAATGCAAGAAAATAGTTAAGATATTTTACTAATAATTTAGATTCAATCTAAATAGTAATACAAATACATGTATTGTAATTGCTGTCAGTCTTCAATATAACCGCTGAATGTAGTATTTTCACAAAATGCCACAATTTTAAAGGGGTTTCTACAAAAACCCTTACCTGCTGAAAAGATCAAATTGGTTGTATTTTCTAACAATGATATTTTTAAATTGCAATAGTACTAGTGTACTTACAGATAAGTCTAATTCTTCAATTGACGATTCGGAAATAAATATAGAACGTAGGACATCTATTGCACCATCTGTTGTTAATGGGTTGAACCCAATCTGAAAAAAATAAAACCAATGATAAAAATATCTCTTCCACAACTTGAATTGTGGAGGCTCAAACACGTTTTGAAATAAAAGTTATAATTATATCTGATAAAAGTATTTGTTCTTTCGGCTAAGATTAATGTAGGATAAGAAAACTTGCTGAGAATTTACCCCAAACTTTTCAACTTGTCTATGTGAATCAACTTTGCAGATTTGACTTTAGATTGATGTGGTTATTCTTTTAGGCCTCCTTACATTGTATTAGCTCTTCACGTGGTAAGGTAGTTATACATCTTCAGCTTTAATTTTTGGGTTCCTAACAAAGGTAAATCCAGAAAAGGACGCCAAAAAATATAAAGTGTAATTTTTCTTGCACTGGGTCAATACTGCTGCTGATTGACTGTTAGTTCCCGAAGGTATAAACGGCTCAGTATTCGGTGCTTCGGTACTGACATAATTTATAACATTCTTTTGCAATTAAATTTTGCGTTGATAGATTGCTAAATTATAAAAGAGCTCAATTTTCAATTCATTTAAGCAAAATTGACCTTAGATGGATTTTGTTATTCATTTAGCACCCTTTTGATCTTAATAGCCCTTCGCGTGTTACAATAGTTATTAAACTTTTTATTTTTGAATACAAACATTGCCGATAAGGGTAAATCTAGAAAAGCGCTTCGAAACAAATTTATAATTTTTTTTTAATTACTTATTTGTAAACTGTTATTGAATTACGGCTATAAAACTGAGCAAATTTCTTATCAACAAAGAAAAGACAGCGATGTAGATTTTCAATCGTTTAATCAATATCACCAAGACTTTTCGTGTCATAACTTCTTACTAAACGTTTCATGTGCACATCGTTATTCACCACATGTTATTATATCAAAAAATCACGCGTTGTCGTATTCAAAAAACTTAAATCACCTAGTTTAGTGAGAATTGTTGGGATAGAATTCTCAGCAAGTTTTCTTAATATCTTGTATCGATCTTTTTGATTACATGAATACGTTTTTCAGATCTTACTACCAGAAACTCTTTCTAAAAATGTACATGTGCATCCTTATTTTAGGATTAGAAATATTATTCAGTGGGACTGTTGAATATGTACATCTAAATCTTATGGTGATTTGACTAGCCAACTAGACTTTGATTATCGACACAGATATATAATTATATATATATATTTTCGATTTCAATAATAAAACAATAAATTGTTGGATTGCCAATGACTTACCCTGAGTATCTTGAGAGTTTTATTTTTGCCTACTCCTGGGAGCAGTTGTCTAAATGCATCTAGGGAAATTCTGTTCGAAGTCAAATCTAGTTCTGTGATTTTCCTATTGTTTAACAGTGTTTTGCCCATTTCGTAACAGCCTTCCATACCAAAACCGTTCCATGCTAAGTTTATAGACTCGAGTGTGTTGTTTATCTGAAACATTGATCAAGTACTTTGTTAATATTGAAAACATTGTTACATACATAAAATGATAAAGGAGCAATCGAGAATATCAGATTAAGGAAATATACATGAGTTAGTAATGATGAAACAAGTGATTATTCAACACGTCCAGTTTTGCACATCTCTTTGTTTTAACAGATTTGATAGTTATCATGAACACGATTTTAAACAGATAGAATGGAATATAATATCTAAACATAATTATTTCATTTTGTATTTGTATTTTAAAATTGATAAGAATACGTTATAATAATTATATTAATAACGTGAAGTTTTAAGAAATAAATTTTGAACTACAATCTTCACAAATAACTTCTAAAGAATATGTTTAGTGTTCGAAGTCATTTGTCAAAAAGTAAATGTTGTTGTATATGAATTGTCTTGTTTCCAGGTAATGATTTGTTTGCGTTTATAATTTTTGTATTCGTTAGAACACTTTACCTGTAAACAATAGCATACAGAAACGGCTCCTCTTTGTCGAAGATGATTCCAGCTTAGGTCCAGATATGTTATTGTGTTATTGCACTCTGAAATAAAGGAAATATTTTTAAAGATCTAAAGTGTGTGTGCAAAATTAGACAAATTATGATATTAAAAACATAAAAAAACTAGCGGTACTTACCAAACAGCAATCAGGAAACCAAGAGCTAAAACTTTTCAACTATTACCATCATATGCACTAAGTAAAAATACAGCCACAACGACCATGCAACAAGCCGAAATAACATGACTTCGAACGGGAGACGAATATAATGGATAAAACCAGCTCTCTCATTTTATGAAAAAGTTTCAGTAATATCGGTTGTTACACGCAACAGTAAAAACATACCGAAAACAATTGACGAAGAAAATCCGTAGTCAAAGCACGTTCCGACTTTAATTCTTAATTTAGAACGCTGAACAAAGGTTCTGTCAGCTTACAAAGGCTAAAGAATACAGGGTTTTTGAATGTACAAACCTTCGTGAGTAAACATAGCAGAAATGATCTCTATGAGACAGAAAAATTATCATACCATTACACACCTATACAGGTCAATGTTGATATGATGATGATAATTATGGTAGATGTCTGTTTTACGTCCAGTGGCAAATCACATACATATTTAGAAGTGCGGTATGTATATGAACCCTGTTTTGTACTAAACAGACACGCTGAGTTGGATGTTTAAAGTGCTAGTTCACTAGATAACAGGCCTAAGGAAGACATGTCACCCTACCCGGACACATTATTCCAACTCAGGACCGACAAGGTTTTGTTCTCAAACCTAAATGCCGCGTATATATCAGAGCAGATACCAATTTCCAGTCTTCGGGTGCGGGGTCGGAGGTGCCACGAGAACACCATGGCAGTTAACTGAAAAGGAACTCTTGCGATTATCATATATGCAAAATCCCGTTGATAGACAAGTTGTCAATTTCTATAAATCGTATTTAATCAGTCATGAACGCATCGGCAAGAGACTGTAAAATTTTTTTTCTAAATATCAATTTCTTGAATAGTCAAAATGCAGTAAGAAGCAACGACAACAACTCTTTGATAATTTCCTCCTGACTTTAAGAGGTTTTGGAGCTTTTCCAGTAAATACCACAACAGAGAAGTAAACAAAGTTAGTTAGATTTAGCGTGGCCCATTTAATCAAATTGACAATTTAATAGCGAACTAAGAGCCCATTGGCAGTTTTACGGCGTTTGTAGCGCTTTTCTTTATTATGAATCTTCGTCCGGAAAGACGAATATGCCAAAGGGAATTGGAAAGCTTAAGAACTCGTCGACTTCATATGCTGTGATTGCTGAAAGATTAAAATCGGTGTTTTACGTTTGTAAGGTCATTGTTTTTTCTAAATGTTTTAATGTTTTCGCACCAAACGGAGTAATGTTATTTCATAGCTAGCTGTTGTGTGGAAATCGCCATGTTATCTGCTACTTTCCAAACTTCACATCATGCATGGGATTTTGACTTTTCATTATACGTACATTAAATCAAGGCGACAGTAGTCATTTCAAATATGGTTAATGGATATAAAAAAACCAACGTAACAAACGAAAACTGAGTGAATCGAAAAAGGACCAAGACCGGGTGTGTCGATAGGGTCAACCTCTCTTGCTATGCCATCGTCAACCGCCATGTGAATGCACACTAATTATATAAGTTAAAACGTCAAAAGCGAGAATAATAAACAATCGGTTTAATTAAAGATTATACGGCTATTTGGTATCTAAAGATCCAAGACCGCGACAAAATGTTGGAAGTGAGTTGAGACACCGACACATCATATCCAATTTGTGATGGTGACTGTCAAAAAAGGTGTAGTGTCGATTTCAGTCGTTTCTATCTCATAGTTGAAGTAGTTTTTGTGTAAGGAGCAAACCCCCTGCTAGGGTGTAACGTATTAACTGTGATATGTAAACGCCATACGATAGAGCAGAGGTTATGTTACTGCTGAAAAAAGGGAAGTTGACAATTGGAAAGTTGAAATCATCATGTTTGTCATATATTCCAGTTTGAGGTAGTTCATCTGTGCCAATTTCGAGAAAAAGATCGAGAAATGAACCAGACGTTCTATTTCCGGTAGTACCATGTGTCGCTGGGATATATGATTTGTAAGCACTCGTTGAAATTTTGTTGATGAAGACTTTGTAGTAGATCTTTACAATCATTAGGAATTCACATCTAATTAACACCGCTAGTTGCATGTACCTCATCGCAATATTATATGACATTTTTTTTACAGTAGAAAAAATTATGGTAAGAGCTTTAGTCAAATAACTTGACGACCCAGCTATATATCGTTCTTTATAAGGATTTGTCTATCAAAACAGGAGAAAAGTTGCATGGGCCTTGTATTTTCTGACAGTGGATGTATCGAACATGAAATAAGTATGTATCAAACGTGTGATTATCACCGTATTGCTTCTTACTATACAATTGCAGATTTAAAGAAAATAAAACCCAAACGATATTTATATATCAGGCCTATACTTTATTGTTTTGTAAAGTGTAATTTATTCGGCATATAATACTCACTGACCATGTATGAATAAGAAGTCTACTTACCTAAAGCTTTACCTAGAACAATTCCTCCTTCCTCCCGAAAACTATTTTTACTTAAAGATAAAGTTCGTATAGACTGGTTTTTCTGCAAATATTAATAAATAAATGATTTTTGCGATGCAACTTATGAAAACAATGACTTGAATAATACTAAAAGAGGAACGAAAGATAGCAGAGGGACAGTAAAACTCATAGATCGAAAACAAACTGACAACGCCATGGCCAAAAATAAAAAGACAAATAGAGAAATAATAGTACAGATGACACAACATAGAAAACTAAAGACTAAGCAACACGAACCCCACCAAAACCTGGGGGTGATCTCAGGTGCTCCGGAAGGGTTAGCAAATCCTGCTCCACATGTGGCACCCGTCGTGTTGCCTATGTTATTACAAATCCGGTAAATAGTCTTATTCGGTAGGTCACATTCTTGAAAAGGGAAGGGTATTGTAGTTACGACATATGGGACATATCCGATATCATCTGTGAAACGGTTATTCCATAACGGTCAACTAGCTCGTGATGGCGTCCGTAAAATTTACGAAGGGATGATTTCAACTTCACCATTTGGAACTCTTGGTTTAATAGCTTCCTTGTAAGCAGCAATCCTCTATCAAGGAAATCATGATAGGAAAAACAAGCCCGGGAATATCGTATTAATTGGGAGATATATACTCCATATGCAGGCGCTGCTGGAATGTTGCTACATAGAAATGGAAAGTTCACAAAATGTTATTGTTATTACTATTACAATTATCATTATAATTTTTATTATTAATCATTTATAAACATATATATGTAGCTTTTTCCTGGTTGAAACCATATACAACTAGAAATTAAAATCACAAAATTGCAAATAAAAATTGACAGTTTTTGCAAACATAAAATAGTAGAATACCCATGCGACATGACTAAATTATTGTGTATAACATTTGTTTCTTCAAAAAATGTCGTTAGATAAGAAGATAAGTTTTCTGTACTTACTTTTACTAAATTTGAAAGATGTACAGCATCGCCTTCAGTAAATCCATTCGCTTGAAATATACATTTAAAGACATATGTGATTTATGAAAAAGTGTAAGTGCAAAAGGTCTTTACACTAAATATGTTGGATGTGAACTGATTGATACTTAAGTCTGGGAGAACATGATTTTTTCGTTAGTTGTAATTGGCTTTGAACTAGCTTTCAGTAACTGTGAAAATCCTTATACCGTTGATTTGTGTCTATTGTTTCAGGTTGTTGTTATATTAGTTTTTTGTGAATTGTATTGTTATAAGTCAGGCCATCAGTTTCTCGTTTGAATTGTTTTCACTTTTTTTAAAGCGGACTATATGGTATGGGCTGTTCCTTATTGTTGAAGGCCGTAAGGTGACCTATAAATGCTTAAATCCACGTCATTCGAATTCTGTTGAATAGTTGTCTAATGGACAATCATACCACATCTTCTTATTCTCATAGGAGAGAAAGTATCAATTACTTTTTTTACATAGAAGTCATTCAAGGATTTGAAATTATTTCCCCTTTTTTTTAATTTCAAAGGGTGTTGTTCATTATTAACATGTACAGACAAGGGTTTTGCCCGTCATGAGATTTAATGGGTTTCGTTTTGCCCAGTCTGAACATTTGTTACTGCTTGAATGTGTTTTTTTTTAGGTTGGAAACAAAAACCAGGTCACTATTTGCATATGAAAAGTGCAATCTAATGACGTTCATTATTTTACACCATTTAACAATCACTTTTAGCTAATTACAATGCCTTTCTAAGAGTTACAATAAAAGCAACAAAGTGGATTTATTATATGTTATAAACAATTTCCAATGTCTATTTTTCTTTCAAGTGTGCCATGGAATATCACTTTAGTACGATGATAATGGTGCCGTTTTATTTCCAATGTGTCTTTTTGTATTAATATATTGATAAAACATTATAGTTTGGTTACGAAATCAAACGCCTGTTCAATCATCAAAGGTATAATCCATTGTAGCTAAGAAACAAATATTTTGGTCGTTATATCAGTTCATACCTAACACGCTTGTACTTTAATACAGTCGATACAGTAAAACATGTTATCTGATTTTTGTATGTAAATGTATAAACTATGAGAGCAGTCTTATAAATTGGGAACGAATTCAAATGAGTGAATGTAAACGACATAAAAACATATGAAATACTAGAAAATAATCAGCATATCAAAGAAACGGCAGTTTTGTGGTCTTTGCCATCTTTTTAGTTTATTTGTATATCAGAATTACATATTTGTTCTTTTCGGTGGCCAATATAGGAAAAATGGAACATTCTTTAACTGCAACTATATTGTTAATTTCAAGAAAATCTCCATATATCATACTGAACCCAACTGAGTTATGTTTTGTCATGTGGTCTACTACAACTTTTAAACAAATAATGTGTCTGTCACAAGAATATAAAGGTTATGTTTGTATTACAGAAATAAATATATATCAAGCTATATGAGAGTAATTTTTCAAACTTAGAAGAGCCTGTTAGTGTAGTACATGTAATGTAAGTACATCATATTGGTATATAATTTTCTGCTGATAACATCAACAAAAAAACACAATCTCTTGAATGAAATAACATACATGTATAGACCACAGATATTAACTGAAGTTGTTTAATAGATTTTGCCGGTCTTCACTTGGTTTAGCCTCTGCTAATTCCAGTTGAAATGTCGCAAAATTATATTAATAATTTATTTACATTGTCAATGGTCAATCTTATGCAATTTTTCTTTTTCCTTTCATTCTTTGATTTACCTTGGAATTTGATACAGTTGTCATTTTAAAATGAAAGGATTTAGATATAACAATAATTATCAGAGAATATAATAAATATTTTACAAGTACTAGAAATTGGATCTTTTATTTTGTTTAGATGTATGTTAATTTTGGTACGTGATTTAGGATTGCATATACAAAGTTATTAGAAGCTTATGTGCGAAACTTTAAAATAGACTGTTTTAACTGCTGAGGTGATTGATAGCGTCACTCCCTATGGGTTTCATTTTTATTATACATAAACTTAAGTGAAATTAATGCAGGAATATAATAATGGTTTTCATTTTAATTATGCATGCCCTTAAATGATTAAAACAAAGCAGCCAAGTAAACATGGTTTGATAATATGTAACGCTCTAGTCCTATGCTGGTGTAATAATGGTCGTACATATCCATCAACCCGCCTTGAAATCAGTAGCGCTCCTTCTTTAGACTGAACATTATGCATAACTATTTGTTACAATTGATTGCCTGTAACATATGATTGATTAAAAGAATTAGATAAAACATCACTGATATGTAAATTAACCAAATTGCCTTATCACTATACGAAATTAATAAAGGATGGTCTTTTATTTTTGGTCAATCAACCAGACATGAGAAAGTATTGTTATTATAGTTATATCACATTTTGCATACGATTATTTTGACTAATATTATGCAAAATGAATTGATTTGAACTAACATTCTGTGTTTTACCTTGTTTGTGTTGGATACCTAAGCTTCACAAAATTCCATGCAAACAATGGTACAATGCCGGCTTATTTGCATGTTCTACAAAGGAATTGTTCGTTAGATATACGAAGATTCTGTCCGCAGTTAAAGAGGGTCTTCAGAAATACTGTGAAACTGTTTACTTGCGTAGTGGTATTAACCATATGTGGATTCTAAAAAACTCTAAAGAACATCTTGATAATTTCACACCTCGATCTTTCTCTGAAATTAATTCTATTAAAACTTTTGATTTTCTCCAACCTGTATACCACCATTCCCCATGTGAAATTGAAAAATCGTCTTAAACAAATAATCTACAATGCTTTTCAATATACAAATGGCAGCATACGTTATAAATTTATTACTTTGCGAATTAATTGGGATTCCATACGGCATATTTTGTTAATAGTGAACAAAAAGGTAAAACATGATACACAGAGGAACAAGTGATCAGTATGCTGGAGTTTCTTATTGACAACATATTTGTGGAATTTGGAGGTAGACTTTTTCAACAAATCAACAAATTGTCGGCCTTCCTATGGGAACGAACTGTGCGCCTCTCCTTGCCAACCTCTTCTTATTTTCATATGAGTCGGAGTTCCTTCAGGCACTTGTCAAAAACAAGAAGATCAAAGAAGCCAGAACATTTGATTTCACTTTCAGATATATTGATGATGCTCTTTCCATTAACAATCCAAACTTTTCTGATTGGGTTCCATTAATATATCCTCCAGAACTAGAAACATCAAACACGCTTCCTCTGCCTCATTTTTAGACTTATACCTCGAATTTGACATACATCTCAGTTCCAGAATCTATGGCAAACGAGACGATTTCAATTTTGAAATTATCAATTTCTCCCACCTTAGTAGCAATATACCAACTTCACCTGCATATGGGATATATATTTCCCAACTCATTCGGTATTCAAGATCTTGCAGCTGCTACTCAGACTTCATAAACGTCACAAGTGTCTGAGCTGAAGGTTGAAGAACCAGGGTTATGTCAAAAAACGTCTCGTCCTTTTTATAAAAAATGTCATCGGAAGATACAAAGACCTTGTTGGTAAATATTCCGTAGTATCAACTTCACAAATAATACTTGATGGTCTTGAAGTATAGATTATAGGTACTGTCTTTGTTTATCATCTTGATTACGTGTCATAGTGTTCTTTTATTTGTTTTTGTAAAGTATTAACCTTCACTGTTTGGTCCATTTTTGGTAATATCCTTTTGGCGTGGCTCGGTACTTATGCATCCCGCCATTGTGGTGTTGTGCTGTCGTAATTTTTTGTATTCTTGTCCTTCAATTTTGCTTCTGTGCTTTGTCTATATGCCATTTGTCTTTGTTGACATATTTGTTTGTTTCTTATAGTGATTAAGATTATAAAACAATGTTGACTGCTGTACCCCTATTTTTGAAATTTTTACCTATTATATCTGTTTGTTTTGTTCACACATTGTTGTCAATATAATGGACTGTCATACAAGTGAGAGGTTTAGCTAGCTATAAAACCAGGTTTAATCAACCATTTTCTAAATAAGAAAATGCCTGTATCAAGTCAGGAATATGACAGTCGTTTTCCATTCGTTTGATGTGTATGAGCTTTTGATTTTGCCATTTGCTAAGGGACTTTACGAATTGAATTTTCCTTGGAGTTCGGTATTTTTGTTATTTTACTTTTTATGGTGGCTTCATCACACAAAGAAAACAGATACGCACCTCTTGGTGTATTGAATTATAGCATTTTACCATGAATCTAATTTAAATGCAAACATTGTTTGTAACAAGACCATTGTTCCATTAAAAAGATGTGATCATACAGGTGTGACCGATAATATAGATATTGAGCTATCCACTCCCATGCAATATCCTAAATTGAGTATTTCCGCGCTTCTAATTTGTGTATTTAAGTCCGGCTATTTGAACAAATGTATTCCATGTGCACATGGTACGAAGACGAACATCGGAGGCTAAAATGTGCAAATTATCGGCATGTGGTCAACAGGGATGTCCATTAAAGCTATTAGACGCCAGAGAAAATATCCAAACCAACTCCATGAAAGATTTGCCAAGATCTGGTAGACCACCGGTAATCTCGCAGCATGAAGTCAGGGCATTGCATCGGCTGGTCATTTGAATGCCAGTTGCAACTAGTTCTGTTCTATAGGGCAAGACAAGATAAGAGCATGTTTGGAACATTTTAGGCTGTCGTCTACAGAAACTTACGTCAGTTGGAAGCGGCGGTCCGTAATCTCATGACACTAATCGTATCATTTGTCATTTCAAAAAATCTTGGGGTTGCTATCTTTTTTCTTTGTGTACATATATGTATGTACGGCGATGTAAGGTATTTGTCAGTGGAACAACATAATTTTGAATCAAACAACATTGACATGTCAATATGCAATCGTCGACAACGATCACTTGTCCATTCTACCTACAACGTACTCTTAGAGAATATCAACCCGAGTGTATCCAAGATGTATTCGAATTTTCAAGACTGCAAATGCATGATCAAGT